TTAAATACACACACACACACACACACACACACACACACACACACACACACACACACACACACACACATATACATATATATATATATATACACAATAATACCAAGGCACAAAATTGTTTTTTCTGTATATAAATCAATAAATATATACATAACATACTTTTCTATATCATATAAACATCTCGCTATTTATATCAATACATTATGTATATAGTTATTATATTAGCACCGTTCATGTTTATTCAAAACAAACAAGTATAAAAAGAGTTTAAATATATAAAATTTTTATATTTTGTTAAATTAAACAAATTTCGCTTAGAAACGACGGCGAACAGAATGTTGTTAACTAATGTTTATCTTTACAGCTTATTTTTTTAGTGGTTGCCTTTGTTTAGAAACAATTACGTTGATATTATCAGTATTGGTAATCAACATGTCGAAAAGGATTTATTGCAAACCACTTCCCCGAAATATTAAACTATGTTTATTAGGTTGGCCTGGAAAGCTGTTAGGACTTTCCGATCTTATAAATATGGTAATTAATAAACACAATTAATAAACACTTTACAATTAAGATTTATATTTATTAAGAAATGTATATAAATATATTTCTAAATAAGTATGGTTCAGAATTAATCATTATAAGCACATTAACAGAATTTTATTAAGTTAAGTTTAAATGAAAATATTAAATTATTAAAGTTTAAATAAAATTATTAAATTTATAAATATTAATTTTGATTAGTTATTTAGAAATTATTAATAGATCAATTTTTCACTACAAAAATTAAATTGACGAACATTAAAAAAACAATTTAAAATAACAAATATTAAAACTTGAAGAATACTTGTAAGAAGTATTTAAAAGTTAAAAGTAAAATTATATTTTTTTAAAAATATAATTTTACTTTTTGTATAAAATTATTAATAAGAAAAAATTATTTAAATTATAAACATAAAAGGATTTGTACACTATAAAATTTAATTTTTTCACATTATTGAATTATTAATAATTTGTTTAGATCGAATCACGACGGCCTACGCCAAATCAAGAGATGCGTGGCAAACTTACGGAGGAATCCACTACTAATTCGACGTCTAACATTTCGGACGATGGAGATCGACAAAATATTATTTCGCCAACGAAAAGTATTACGCAATTAGAATGGATTTTAGCAGGCACAGCTGTTGATCGTATAGCTTTTGTGTTGTTCTGTTTGATTTTAACAACAATGGCAATAGTATGTATAGGTTAATTCGTTAAATAAAATTTTTTCTAAACTGTTTGGATGTCACTAGTTTATAAAAAATATTTTTTTAATTATTTTGAACTAGACATGATATTTCTTCTATAGATTTTTGAATGTTGAAAATGCCACAAGAAAGCCAAATTTTTCTAGCATATCGGATTTCTAAAATAATAAAAATTTAATGTATAAAAATAGTTTTTTGCGATATTTACAGATTTTTTTTTAAAGAAGGTTGACTTATCTTATCTTGAATATAGCTTGAAATTCTGACTCATAACTTCAAAAGTTATGAATATATTGCTCCTATAAAATGCATATTTTCTTTGCTATCTTATTTTTAGGTACTTTGAAGATTTACAGAGTTTTGCTAAAATAGCGAAAGTCTATGCTATTTTAGCAAAATTCTACTAAAATTCTTCTTAATATGGCTAAAAAAATGTCAAAAAAAAAAGAAATGCCTTTTATAAAAGATAAATAATATATTGACTGATTAATGATATATTAATCATAATTTTAATATATCATTAATCTTCTTTATAAAAAATTACCAAATATCGCAAAAAAATTATGTTTTGCGTATTAAACTTCAATTATTTTGGAAATCTAACGTGCTAGAAAAATTTACAATGTGATATCATTTACAGTATTCAGAAATACAGAAACAGTATAAGAAACACCTCTTATTTGATTCAAAATAATTTTTTGCTATAAATTAGTGTAATCTAACATGTAAAGGTGAGAGTTGCCGAATATGTACCTCTTAAATTATTTTTTTTATATTTCTTATTTGGTACTGACTTGTACCAATTGTAAATGAACGTTAGAAAGTGTAGCTTTATTTCAGCCACCTATTATTACATATTTAATCCTTTACTAATAATAAATTAATTTGTTATAAGTTTTTTTATAACAATGCTGCAAAAGGTACAATTTAAGCAACCGATCACCTGCGAATCTTCTAAAACGTATTTTCTTTGAAAGTATCGTATTTATGAATGAAAACAAGTTAAAAGTGTAAATTTAATAAATGAATATTTATTTTAATACTTATTTTTTGTTAATAATTTATCAAGAAAAAGGATGAAGTATTTAATATTTAGTAAATAGCAATAATGAAATTATAAAGACATTGCAATAAAATTGTCTTGAATTTATGTTTCAATTAAAATTTGTATTTATAGTTTTATTATCATTTATCAATTTTATATTAATATCACTTATTGTAAGAACATTAATAATAATAAAATATTGTTCAGATTAAGAGCCGAAATTACAATGTCGCCATCTCACAAGCACAGATAGAACTATTGCCGGCACATAGAGATCTTTCCTCTTATCAGAGAGAAACTTAAGTATCGGTCTATAATATTTAATTTTTAAACCGTAAGAAATTGATCAATCATAGTCGATTATTTTTTTCATATTCGATTATAATTGGTCAATCTCTTACTTCTTAAAGCTTAAATCACCTATTGTGGACCGACACTAAGAGTGATCACGGCGTTTTAGCTGTTTTAACCGTTATTCGCGTAGGTAATGTGCACGATTTTGTGGTTCTCTTCCGTGCTAGACGCAAAAGTGATAAAGATGAACGAAGTTACGGCTACGACTGTCTGTAAAATTAATAAAAGCATATGTAGTATAAATATAAATATTAAAAAAATTACCTTGAGCTTGTGAGAATATTTTTAAGATAATGCTATCTCAGATCTTTAGAAGCAACAAAAGTAAATACTTGAAGATTGAAGGTAATCGTTATTGCATCGAGTTTGCTGTTCGTTATAATGTTTGGTAAAAACTGTATAGCTTCCAGCGATTGTTGCAATGCTTTATTTAAAAAAATATGCTCCTATTCTATAGTATCTATCTTTATTCTGTACATTTACAGTAACGTAATCTTTTTTTAAATTGAATTTTTGAAACATCACGTTTGTAAAATTAGATTCAATGCAAATTTATCTTTAAATCGCGCCTTACTTAAATACAACAGAAAAACAATTTTAATTAGAAATTTCAATATAACAAAATATCACAAATCGTTTTCTTTCAAATATTGCTATTTAAAATAATATTCATCATAGAATAATCACCAGAAATTTTATTTTCAATAAATACAATGTTCTTTATATTATCTCAACATAATAATTATATAAGATAGCTTGAGAACTCTATGACATAATAATTCTACGACATAATCAACGTATATAAAGAATATTCTAATAAAATAGAAAACATACATTTTTGACGTTGACAATACAATAGTCGAGATGTGATCTATTAAATTTCTTTTTGTTCCAAATTTGTTTATTTGTTGATTCAAACTCCTGTTGGTTCACTAGCTAATTTAAATTCTGATGTCAAAAATCTATAATTAAGAATGAAAATATAATTCAAATATATGTTTATTTATTGATTACCGAAACAAAGTTTTCAGTAAATTTTAAAATAAATTTTAAAAACCTATTCTACTAATTGCATATTATTGTTTTGTTGTTAAAGTTTTTCCATTATAATGTATTTTATAAGAGTTTTCAATATGTGTCTTCTTATTTCTGATATTATAATTCAAGATGGTTGCAACGAATCACTTAAAACTTTGAAATCTATTATGGCTGCAGTGAATCACATAAAATTTCAAAATCTACTGTTTGAAAAAAAAAAAGAGCATTTCCTTATCCATTTTGGATAATTAACACACACAAAATATATCGACTATACTTAAGACTAGATGATTTGATCATCGATTCAAAATAGATATTCATATAATCGCTCGGAAGACATGTTGCAGAAAAATTTGTCATGCCGGTCTTATATTTTTTTAATCCTTTCAATTAACATTTCTTGAATTGTCATTTTCATTTATTTATATAAAATGAAAAACTAATAGTTCAATTCAATATTAATATAATTAAAAAAATATTTTCAGTTTATATATAGCATGCATATAAACGTCATGTCATGTTAATTGTTAAATATTCATTCAACTCTCAATTTTAATTCACACACTTCTTAATTTTAACTTCGCTAATTTGTAATAATTTAAATAGACGGCTTGATTTACAGAAATGATAAAGTCAATTTAACTTCTACTTTCTTTGAAAAAGAAAATAAAAAAAGAAACGGTTGCAATTATACGTAGCGAGTAGCGTATTATATTGTTGTTCCGTTATTGCAAAAAAGAAATATGAAAAAATTTTAACAATGCTTAAAAATATATCACATTTAGGCAATATTTAATACATAAACTCTCATATTTATAAACAAATATTCATAAAACATTACAAGGTCGTAATATATGTCTTTGCATATAATAATTTTTACTATTTCGTGTGTGATCATAATTGCTGTATAGGTCTATTCTGTAATGACAGATATATATTGTCGTTATAGAATAGGTTTCAAAATAGTTACAATCGCACAAAGCAATACTATCTGAATAGTATTAGTTATTACTTTAAACATTATCGTTTAAAGGAGGACACCGTTAATCATGAAAGCAAGCGGAATATTGAAATATCTTATGGAAAAAATCATTATGATGAGATTTGCTTAAATATCACGAGGCTCATGTGGATCCGGAAGTTTCTGCCAATTCGGCTCGACGTCCCAAATCTCGCGTGCATACTCTGCGATTGTGCGATCTGAAGAGAATTTTCCCGACGATGCTATGTTATGAATAGCCATTTCCACCCACTTACTTTCATCCTGAAACAATTAACAAGTGCTATCTGAGAAAATCTGAGACTAAAATTTTGAATAGATTAAAGGAATGAATTTTTATCTGTATTACTGACAGAATATGTATGTTTTTCATAAAAACTTTTTTACATTTTGCTCTTATAGATTTGAAAATTCTTTTCCATAATTATACATAAAGTTTATGCATTAATATATGTTTATTGAGACTTCGTATCCAGAACGAAAAATTTTTTAAATTTACATCTTTTTTGTTGTAAATCTCATTTGCTACATTTTTTATATAGAATTATAAAAATTTTATATAGAATTATAAAAAATTCCTTATTTTTCTATAGAATATAAAATTACATATTAATTTTTTGATGAATAAAAACTTATGCGAAAGTTGACTAAAACTGATTCAATACCTGATATACTTTGCTGACATGATCTTGCATATTTATATAGCTCTCATAATCAGCCAAAAGAAGAAACCTATCCCATTTAAGCAATACGTCAGCGATATCTCGAAATTCATCAGGATTATTCGGACTGAAGAATCCTCCTTGGATTTGATCGATACACTGCTTGGCTTCCGGTAATTTATTGTAGTAATCATATGCATTGTAGCCTTTCCTTTGCAGAATTTCCACTTCCTCTACTGTCATACCAAAAATGAAGATATTTTCATTACCCATCTCTTCTGCCATTTCTACATTTGCTCCGTCTAACGTGCCAATAGTTAATGCACCATTCAACTGTAAGTAGAATACAAGGCTTTCTGTCTGGTTGAATCAAACTAACAGAAATAATTATAATATTGTATTATTATATAATATTGTGTTATTATATAATATTAATATGTATTATTATATAATATTGTGTTAAATAAATTTGAAATTATTTTCTCGGATATAATAGATGTATATAAATACGCAATGGCAATATCAACGTCATTTCATTGCCAAAAATTGCTAACCATAAATTTCATGTTGCCAGTGCCAGACGCTTCGGTGCCAGCAGTTGAAATTTGCTCGCTTAGATCTGCGGCTGGTATGATCTTTTCAGCTAAAGTCACTCGATAATTTTCAAGGAAGATCAACTTGAGTTTATCACCGATAATCGGATCATTATTAACAACATTAGCAACACTGCAAATAAGCTTGATAATTTTTTTTGCCAGGTGATAACCTGGCGCAGCCTTACCGCCTATCATAACAGTTCTCGGAGTAAAATGGGCAGATGGATTCTTCTTTATTCGATTGTACAAAGTAATAACGTGTAAACAATTCAACAATTGACGTTTGTATTCATGTATACGCTTTACCTAATAAAACATAATAATAAAACATCACAATTCAATCTGTATCATTGCCTTCAAAGCGCGTTTCTCAGCAAAAACAGTACAACATAATGATTTCGTCTTTGTTTAAGATTGATAAACGATAAAAATAAAGCGATTCACTATATTATATTATGTTTCTGTTGGAAAACGCTCCAAATCTACTGAATTTTTTTTGCAATTTTTAACTATATTATAAATATATTATTGCATGTTTTATGTAGTAATATGTAATCATAAATATTAATATATAATAAATATTATATAAAACAGTTAAATACACATTATATTTTGGGTCTACTTTTGATTTAATTATAATCTTTTTTCGGAAATAATTTTTTTTACCAAAAAATACTGAGATTGTCATTCGTCATATTTAAAAAAGTTTTAATATCTGCATAATAAAAATGACTTTTTGCATAATAAAAATGACAAATTTTATTAAAAGTCCAATTAAAGCTGTATAATTGAAAATAATAACTGTGGAAAGATTTTCCTCTTAAACATAATTTGTAAACAACTTTTCATTCACAATTGTTAATTATTCAAAGATAATGACTAATACTTTTAATGAAAAATTAGAAATTCATCAAAGAAAATAGAAATTCATCAAAGAATCTATAATAAAAATGATATTAGATGATATATTGAGTATTCAAAATCTTTCTTGCTTTTATTCTAACCTGGATATCAAAGATAGATGCTGGATTAACTTGTACGCCATATTCTTTCTCTAACATTTGGGCTAAGCGCAATTTGTTTTCCTGTTTCACTTTAACAACGTTTCGTTGAAAAACCGGATCCTTTGCCCATTTTTTCAATTGAGCCAACTGTTCCAGATGAACTGTCCATTCGCTACCAATTTTCTACAAATTATTAAATAAATCATATAAAATTACATACAAATTACATGCACGCACGCACATACACGTATATAATTTGTGATTATTAACAAATTGTGAATAAATTGTGAATTTGAGAATTCTCATGTTTTCTATTCTAACACTTGTATTCTCATTATGAGAATACATTATGGGAATACAAAAATAACTGCTAAAAGCTCCTAGATACAACTAACAATAAAATAATTGATTGACAATTCATTAAAATAATACATTAGTATATTTATTTAGGATAGATTCTTTAAACTTTAAAGTTTTTCACAAAAATGTCTAAGATGATTTGTCTTTTTATGATTTAGGATTGTATTGCTGGGGAAATACTTACTTCTTCAATTATATCAGACAAATTTGGATTACAGAGTAGCAGCCATCTTCTTGGTGTGATACCATTTGTCTTATTTTGAAATTTTTCCGGTGTCAATTCATAAAAGTCTCGGAAGCTAATTAAAGGAAGACAATATAAAGGTCTCATCAATTTTTCAAAGCAGTGTTAATTTTTACAAAGAAAATGCTACGTACACACTGTTTTTGAGAATTTCTGAATGAATACGAGCCACTCCGTTTATGGCATGACTACCAACAATTGACAAATGAGCCATGTTGACTCTCTTCTCACCTTCTTCTTCTATTAAGGACATTCGACGAATACGATCTATATCTTTGGGCCATTTGGCTGCAACATTTTGAAGATGCAGGTGATTTATCTCATAAATAATCTGCAGATGCCTCGGAAGAATGCTTTCCAGCATATGAGTGGGCCATCTTTCTAATGCCTCAGGAAGAACTGTGTGATTTGTGTAAGCGCACGTACGTGTCGTTATGCCCCAAGCCTAGAAGTTGAAACATTCAAAAATATTTATGTTATCCCTAAATATTCATTATTACTGTTAGATATATAATT